TAGCATGTTAAATAGATCAGAAGTTCCCTGACAGAAGTTCGCCCCAAAAAGTAATTGTAAGAAACCAATTGATAATAAGGCTGACACCTACATGGATCCTCATCGAAACAAAAGTTCGAAATATTATAGCAAACGTTGAGTAAACGAAAATTTTTGTTTAACCTTAAAAATATATCCAGCTCCACCCGATTTTGGTACATCGATTCCGAAGATGTCATCAATTTGCGCAATGAAAACATGTACTGCAGCTGCGGTAGTGAATCCAGATACGAGCTGATCCGAGAAATAGGCAGTTATAAAATCGAGATGCAGCAGTCCTGCGACAATCTAAAAAAATTCCTCTAAAAATTTCGAAATAATTTTATACGCGTAAAATGAAAAAATCAGAATCTATCTGTTTTCTTACGTTCAATTTGAGGAACTAATGAAAAAAAAAAGCACATAACCAAACAATGAAATCAAATGTGCATATGCTAAAAACACCCTACGTGTATATGCTCGCCCTTATGATCAAATAGGGGAGAAGGGGCGGAGGGGGGAGTGGAAGAGGGAGAGGGACACAAAATTTGATACACTCAAATTATGAAGCCGTTAAAAAAAATTCAAACTGAACTCCAAAATTCTTCATCCGTAAGCATGGAAAATGGAATACGCTACGTTTTGTAATATAAAAAGTGGAAATTAAACGAACATTTCACATGTGAGAATTTACAGTTGGGTTTGGCGAGGCAACCATAAGGTCTCAAAATGATAAAACGCCTACAGTTAACAAGGCAACCATAACGTCTCTCTAAAATACCAAATGATTTAGAGCAGGCTGAGCCCAAAAGCCGAAGAGGCTAAGGAGAGCCCAAGATAAAGCCCAAGAGGCTGAGGACAAAGCTGACCCAAGAGGCTGAGGACAAAGCCCAAGAAGGAAAAAGCTCAAGAGGCTGAGGAGAGCGAGTTACAATCATAAATGCGAGTCTGTCCAGTAAAATATTTTAATGGAAGAGAGAAAGTATTAAGAAATTTATAAAACTTGAAATGTATTGCAAAATATGGTAAGAAATGTTTCAGTGCATTAAGTCGTATACATTTCTTACCATTACCACAATTGGACCTCGTCAGTGCGAAGATTGTGGTAATTAGTATGAATGTGAGTTTAATTTAAATACTAATGTTAATAAAGTACTGGTGAAATAAAGATAAGAGTTAAGTGTATAAGTATGAATTTCGCGGCGTGGAAATGATGAACTTGTGGAGGCAGCCAGCGTCGGCACATTTCCAGTTGAGAAGGAACAAAATGATGCCAAAGTTAACGCACTAAGTGCTCAATGACTGACTGGTCAAATACCTCGACAGCACCAGTTGTGAAAGCAAGAGAAGTAGCAATTTCAGCGGTGGTAATTGAAAATATTGTGCCATTATTACCAATATCACTTGTACTGCCCATCCGCGTTCGCTGCGTCAAAATCTCGTCGTTTGCAAGCCCAGACATTAGCGCCACCACGGCGAATGA